CCGGAGCAGAGGAGGAGCAGCTGGACACTGCGGAGATTGCGTTCCAAGTGAAGGAGCAGCTGCTCAAGCACAACATTGGGCAGCGGGTGTTCGGCCACTACGTGCTGGGGCTGTCACAAGGCTCGGTCAGTGAGATCCTGGCCCGGCCCAAGCCCTGGCGCAAGCTCACGGTGAAGGGCAAGGAGCCTTTCATTAAGATGAAGCAGTTCCTGTCGGACGAGCAGAACGTGCTGGCTCTGAGGACCATCCAGGTGCGGCAGCGAGGTGAGTGCTGGCTGCAGGGTCTGCGAACACGGGTTCTGGATTCAGAGCCAGGCTCAGCCGCCTCCAGCTGTGTGACCTGTAGCAAGTGACTTTGCCTTTCTGTGCCTTCCTTTCCTCCTCTGTAAAATAAGGAAATGCATCCTCTCTCCCTCCTTCCTGAGGCCTGTGCCCAACTGGCCCTCTCCCCAACTGGCCCTCTCCCCAACTGGCCTTCATGGGACGGTTCAATAATGGTGCGAAAAGGCTGGGTCTCAGGGGCTGTTCTGACAGCTACCCCCTAAGCACCTTGAAGCCTCAGTTTACCCATCCATTAAATGGCCTGGGTGATCACTAACCTTGCCAGGCTTAATTTTTAGGCTACTCCATCTGAAGGGCCCAAGCTCTGACCTCACAAACACCTGAGTTTGAGTCTCAGCTCTGCCCTTCACCCGTGGGGTGGCCTCAGGCAGCTCACTTGCTTTCTGTGCCTCAGCTTCCCATCCACTAGCCTCCACGGGGTGAAATGAGTATAAAGCACCTAGTAACTGCGTGAGAACTTTTAGCTATGGTGGTGGCTGATCATTGTTGTTTTGCTATTATTATTTCAAGTCACTTGAAGGTCCACAGTGTGTCACGTAGACTAGCTCAGTAGTGGTCCTACTGCACATACTCATGGTCTGGCCTTTGCTCTCCTGGCCTTTGCCCTGGCCCTGGGAGGAGGGGCCCAGCCATTCACCTTTCCCAGCTCCAGGGACTGACCCCCAACATGCAGGTCCCCATGAAAAATGCCTCCTTGCCTCTCCCAGGCAGTATCACCCCGAGAATCCGCACACCAGAGACAGGCTCTGATGACGCCATCAAGAGCATCCTGGAGCAGGCCAAGAAGGAGATCGAGTCACAGAAAGGGGGTGAGTGTGGCAGGCAAAGGCCTGAGCCTCTGGGGCCTGCTCTGAGCAGCAGGCAGAGTCTTGGCTCCCTCATCCCCTGCCATCCATCCAGAGGGGATTCCAAACAGGTCAGAACCTCTTTGCCTCTTTCAGTCTGCAGGCAGGCAAAGTCTAGGCCTGGAAAGTGCCAGATCCATGCTATCCAATATGGAGCCACTAGGCGCACACGTCTATATTCATTCAAATTCAAATTAAATAAAATTACAACTTCTTGAGTCACACTGGCCCCATTGCATAGGTGACTAGTGGCGGCCATATGGGACAGCACAACTTGGAATGTCTCCTTCATCACACAGTTCTGAGATGTCAAACACATGAGGCCTGAGCCTCACCCCAACTGTTAGTCTCACCCTTGCACCTGTACCTTCTATATCCCATGGAGACACTTGTCTGGCTTCCGCCTGCTTCTGTGACCACGCCATCCACACCTTCCCATGGGGCACCAGATTCATCTCCCAGTGCTGCTGTTAGCCACAAACTCAGTGGCCGAAAACAATACAAATTTGTTATCTCATGGGTGGGGTGGGTGGGGCAGAAGATTAGCCTCCCTGAGCTCGTCAGTGAGTTGGCAGGGCTGCGTTCCTTCCGGAGGCTCTAGGGGAGAATCGTTCCCTCGCCTTTCAAGCTTCTTGAGGCCGCCCACTTCCTTGCCTCATGGCCCCTTCCTCCACGGTCAAGTCCAGCACATAGGCATCCTTGGGATCATGTAGGGCCCACCCAGATAATTCAGGATAATCTCCCCATGTCATGATCCTTAACTTCCATCACATCTGTAAAGTCCCCTTTACATACTCAACAGCCCCAAGGAAGGGCCATGGATATGTTGGGGGGCCACCTCTCAAGAGCTTCAGAGCCACAAGCCAACTGCTGGCCATGTCCACCAGGATCCCACTGGCATTTCAAACTCAGCACGTCTGACACGGAGCTCACTGTCTTCCCCTCCCCTCACTCCCTCTTCAAAGTCACCCACTCAGGGCTGGGAGCCTTTCATAGTGGTAGAAACCCAGGCTGAGGTAAGGGACTATCCTCACCCCTGGCAGCCAGTCAGCCACCCCATCCACGGTGTAGCTCACCCTCTCAAGTGTTTTCTTCAAGCTTGTCCATCCCCCACCCCAGTTGCCCCCAGCCTAGTGAGCCACCGTCATCACTTTCTGGGACTGCTGCCGTAGTCACTTCACTGGTCTTACCAATGACATTCTAGGCCCCACTCTACCCAGATACCAGAGGGATCTTTCTAGAGCACACGTGGTCATGATGTTACTACTCAAAATCCTTCCATGGCTCCCCATTGCCCTCAGGATAAAATCCCAACTCCTCAACAAGGCCTGTAGTCATCAGACTCCTCCCGATCCCTCCACACCTCTCACATGAATTATAATCATGCTTATTCTCATCCCCCTAGTTCTCATCCCAGACACCTTTCACCGGCCAACTTCTCATACTTTATGACTTTACTCAGAAGTCACCTCCTCCAGGAAGCCTCCCACCACTGCACAGATGCTTGTATACTGCTCCTCCTTGGATCCCCCAAATTATATATATATGCTTGGTGCAGTGGAGCCAGATTTGTCTTGCTGCACATTCTGACCCTGTTGTTTATTAGCTGTGTGACCCTGGGCAAGTTTACTTAGCCTCTCTGTGCCTGCATTTTCTCATTTTTAAAGTGAGGGTAGTGTTAATACTCCTTAAGGTTGTGTGAGGATCAAATTAGATCAATCCTGGCAAGCACTCAACGTAGGACTTGGCATGTAGAAGGTGCCTCTGAAAGGTTAGCCATTGTTACCATTAATATTGTCATTATGTCTCTATTGTTGTATTTGCTTTTGTTACAAATGACTCTGCTAATGTGGCTGTCCCTCCCACTGGTCTGGGGCTTCTTGCAGCTAGGAACCCAGTTGCTTCCATGCAGCCAGCACGCGGTTATAAGACAGTTGCTGACTTAGAACAGGTTTCAGCACGCCCACTCTCTTTCAGTGTCTTCTGCCCCCTGGTGGTGACTTAGAGTAAGTGACCTGATTTCCAAGCTTCTGCTTGCTGCTGGGAGCCATGAGTTTCCCAAGGGTCCTCTCCTTGACCTGGTCCCTGAGAGGGAGTGGAAGGAGGTTTACCCTGCGAGGACCTACAATGCCCCACCCAGATTGGGCACAAAGATTTATATACAAGCTTTTCTTTTATCATTGTCACAACAATGACAAACTAGAAACACCGAAGTATCCAGCAGTTGGGGAACAGGGAAGTCTCTATGGCTCTACCTATGTATGAATGGAAAGTATACAACGTGTGGCCTTTTGTGTCTGGCAGCTTTTAACTCAGCATGTTTTTGAGGTTCATCCATGTTGTAGCAAGTATCTCTGCTTCATTCCTTTTTATGGCTGAATAATATTCCATTGCTGTATTACCTTTTAATCAGAAAAGCAACATAAATTATTTTTAATGGGACTGTGGGATCCACTGGGGTAGAGACTGGACAACAAGATAATAGAGAAAGGGCAGTGTTGATCTGGCTTGGTCCAGGGGTGGGGAGACCCAGAGCAGGAAAAGCCACTCAGAGGGCTGAGGGAAGCACTGTTCTATTGTTCCTTTTGTTTACTACTTATTAAAAAGATTTTTTACCAAATAATATATTATTTATTTTGCTTGTTTTGGAGCTTTATAGAAAGTGAATTATAATGTGTATCACCTTCTGGGACTTGCTGTTTTTGCTCAAAATTATGTTAAGATTCATGTGTGGTTTTGCATAGTGACTTCCTTTTTCATTGCTGTATAGTATTCTGTTGTGGGCCATGCCACTATTATCCATCCTCTCCTCCATGAGTATTTGGGTTCATGCCATTATTTTCCAGTTAGAACAAATGAAGCAGCTTCTTTTATGTGCTATAGTATTTTTCTTGTCTTTGAACATTTGTGTAGATGGATCATAGCATATGTAAAAGACAAGTCTTTTTTTATATCACATTATCCACATAAATACTTTCTTCATATATGCTAAAATCTCACTGTCTACCTGATTTTTAATGGCTGCCCAATAGTCTGCCAAACAGTTGGACCATAATTTACTTAATCAATCCCCAAATGGTGGACACAGAAATTACCTCCAACATTTTGCTGGCATAAATACCAATGCTGTGACCATCTTTGTTGCCCTTTGTGCCATGTCCTGACAACTGGCCTCTGGCCACCCTGTCATCCACCCACAGGTGAGCCCAAGAACTTGACAGCCCCATTGACCATCACTAATGGCACAGCCTCTGCCAGCACCTCAGAAGATGCCATCAAGAACATTCTGGAACAGGCACGCCGGGAGATGCAAGCACAGCAGCAGGCCCTACTGGAGATGGAGGCAGGACCCCGGGGCCGCTCAGTACCTCCTTCACCCCCAGAGCGGCCCTCACTGGCAGCTGTGAGCCAGAATGGGGCTCCAACCTACGTCAAGCAGGAGGACAGCAGTGGTAGCAGCGGCAGCGGGGGGACCAGCAGCAGTGCCACACAGACATCCCTCACTGTCCTGTCTCCCGCTGCCTTCGTGCAGAGCATCATCCGGAAGGTCAAGTCAGAGATCGGTGATGCTGGCTACTTTGATCAGCACTGGGCCTCAGACCGCGGCCTGCTCAGCCACCCCTACACCTCCATCTCACCCTCACTCTCCTCCTCCTCCTCCAGCTACTCTGGCCAACCCAATGGACGGGCCTGGCCCCGTGGGGATGAGGCTCCCACAATCCCTGAGGATGAAGCGGCTGGGGGTGAGGACGAACCCCCAAAGTTGGGCGAGCTCAAGGCCGAGGGGGGCATCTCTGAGTCAGGCAGCAGCGGGCGGCTAGCCTACTACCCAACATACGTGCCCCGCACACTGAAGCCCACCGTGCCGCCCCTGACCCCAGAGCAGTACGAGCTCTACATGTACCGTGAGGTGGACACGCTGGAACTGACGCGCCAGGTCAAGGAGAAGCTAGCCAAGAACGGAATCTGCCAGAGGATCTTTGGGGAGAAGGTGAAGACAGGGGCAGGGGAGCAGGTAGGGCAGGAGGCTCAGGGCCATGGGACCCAGGGAAAGAGAACGACCTGATGACACAGCCCCAAGTGCCCATGGTCTGAAAAGAAGCAAGAACAGGACAAAAGCATGATTTGAACCCAGGTTCTTGTGACCCCAAAAGCTCAACCTATATAATAAAAGGCTAATATGCAAATTGACCAAACAGCGGAACGACCGGTCACTATGATGTGCACTGACCACCAGGGGTCAGACACTCAATGCAGGAGCTGCCCCCTGGTGGTCAGTGCACTCCCACAAGAGGAGCATCGCTCAGCCAGAATCCAGGTTAATGGCTGGTGAGCGTAGCGGTGGAGGTGGGAGCCTCTCTTACCTCTGCGCAGCACTAAGGATGTCCAACTGCGAGAGGCTGGTCTGCGAGAGACTGCAGGCTGGGCTGAGGGACCACCCCCCCCCCTCCAGTGCCTAAATTTCATGCACCGGGCCTCTAGTTCTTCTATATCTAGCTGTCCCTGTGTTCTGTGGGAAAGGGTCATGGGAAAGGCTGGCATTCAGTTCTGTGGTTGTTAAAGCAGTAAAACACTTCCACCTGGCTAGGAATAACTATTTAGCTCCCCTCCTGCAGGACCTTCCATCCCTCCATTGGTCCAGCCACTAAAGGGGCCTCCTGATTGGTTGGTGCCCCCGCAGTACCAGTGGTTAAGTAGTTTTTTTACATCACCTCTGCCCATAGCAGAGGAGCAGGCAAACAAACAAGCCGAGGAGGGAGAAGTGAGTAACCTAAGTGGGAGACACAGGAAGGCTTCCTGGAGGAGGGGGCACTTAAGGGGGTCTTAACAGCTAGGTAGATTTTTACATGTAGGGAAATCGGGAAGGGCACTGCAGGTGAGGGTACTACACAGGCACACACCTGGGAAATGAAGAACAAATGAAAACAGCCCTGGCCTCTCCGGCAACAGAGTGACCAGTGATCCCTAAGAGTCTTAGGGGAGAGGGGAGGTGATGGCCTGTGTTCCAGGGGCCTGCTGACCCACCCTTTCTGCACCACCGGTCCCCAGGTGCTGGGTCTGTCACAGGGCAGTGTGAGCGACATGCTGTCCCGGCCGAAGCCATGGAGCAAGCTGACGCAGAAGGGGCGGGAGCCCTTCATCCGCATGCAGCTGTGGCTCTCGGACCAGCTTGGGCAGGCCATTGGCCAGCAGCCCAGCGCCTCACAAGGTGAGTGCCCATGGGGCTCTTTTGAGGGGTGCTACCAGCCCCCAAAACTGCGGCGAGCCCTCACTCTTCCATTCTGCGATGGCACGTGCATCTGCTTTACTGCCTCTCTCTCCGGCCCCACTGCCCTGGCCACCATTATTGCTGCCCTGGAAGACTGCAGTGTGTTCCTAGCTGGTGTCCCTGCTCCCCTTGCTTCCTTCAATCAGAGGGATGCATCTATCGCTGGTTTTAAACCTCCAGGTGGTGCCCAAGCAAGTGTAGAAAATAGTTTACATGTGGAGCCCCACCCTCTGATCCCATCAGAATCGCCGATTGATATCTTTTTTCCCAAGGATCCAGCATGCAGCCTCAGAATCCTTAGCACAGGGCCTTGAGCAGCTGTCATGAGACATAGGCAGGTGGAGTTTGGACTTTGCCTCGGTGAGGAAACTGAGGCTCAGAGAGTTGCCCAAAGTCATGGAGCCTAAGAATGGAAAGAAGGGGTAAAGGGGAGACTCCAGCTGAGCCCAGCCCCCTTCCCCCGCCTGCCAGCAATGGGTGGATACTTGAAACAGCCTCTTGTTTTCCCAGGCTGGCCCTTCTCCACCAACTTTGTGTTTCTGCTGGTGACAGTCATCAGAGGACATGTCCATGTCAGTTCCAGCATCACACAGATGTCGCCTAGATATCCAGGATCAGCCAATTTGGGGGAAGGTGGGACCATAGAGTCCTCAAGACCCCAGACAGGGGCTGCCTGCCACCTGGGGCTGTGGTGCACTACTCAGAACTTTAAGGCTTCTCTCTGCACCTTCAGGGTAATCGGGTCCCAGCCGAAATTTATTCACTCAGTAGACGAACCACCACCTCCTGTCTTCCAGAAAATCCTAATCGGTGGGTGAGAGGAAACCTGAGCTCTAGTCCTGATGTTGCTATAGTCACTGTGCGACTGGGGCACATATTTTTTTAATCTCTCTGAGCCTTAGTTTCCTCACCTGTCTCCTAGGCATGTTTTTGGTGACTTGAGATCATGGGCGTAAAACACGTAGCACTGCACTGGGCGTGTGGTAAGTGCTCAGTGAAAGGAAGTTTTGTTGATTACTGTCCTCATCATTGTTATCTGGTAAGGGAGACATCTAGCACGAGCAAGAAATTATAGTGAAGCCAGTTATTCTAGAGACTGTCTCCCTTCGGCTTTGTCTGGTGCTTCTTGTGATCAGATTCAGGCCGCACCCTTCCAGCAGGAATATCACCGAAGCAATGCTGTGTCCTCGCCTCGCATCATATCAGGAGGCGCCCGTTATTGATTTGACCCATGATTGGTGGTGTTTCCTTTGATCACTTGGTTGAGGTGGTATCTGCCAGGTATCTCTTTGTAACTAATAAGTATTTTGTGGGGAGATACTTTGCGACTATGTAAACTTTCATCTGCTAGTTTTCCCATCCAGGACTGTCCCTGCCTGAGATATTACTGTGGTGGTTGCAAAATGGATTGTTGCCAACTCTTGGCTCTAACAAGTAAGACTGTCTAAACTGTGTGTGACTATGTAGTAACCACCTTCTCCGTCTCTCTGGCCCACAGCCAGTCCCACCGAACCCAGGTCCTCACCATCTCCACCCCCTAGCCCCACGGAGCCCGAGAAGAGCTCCCAGGAGCCCTTGAGCCTGGTATTGGAGAGCAGCAAGGAGAACCAGCAGCCAGAGGGACGCTCCAGCTCCTCACTGAGTGGGAAGATGTGCTCGGGCAGCCAGGCCACAGGGGGCATCCAGGAGATTGTGGCCATGTCCCCCGAGCTGGACACCTACTCCATCACCAAGAGGGTCAAGGAGGTTCTCACAGACAATAACCTAGGTAAGGGGTGGTGGGACTGGGGGATGCTGCCTCCCACCCGGTTAGCTCCCACTCTTCTTGAGTGAGATCCCCACAGTGAGATCGCAGGGCACTGGGGTCCAGCCCACCCAGCAGTCCTAGAGCACCCAAGACCCTTAGGAGGCATCTAACTCTGACCTGGGTTCCTAGAGAATTAAGATAAGTTGAAAGTAAATAAATAACAACTCCCAAGCCTCCCAATCAGAATCCAGTTTTTATGTATCTTTGATACTTTTCTGAACACACACAAGAATATATGTCACTAGTTTCTTCTTTTCTCTTTTCTATATAGATGCAATTATACAACATACACATACTGCCCTACAGCTTACTTTTTAAAGGATTTTTTTATTTTTTTAATCCTCACCTGAGGACATGTTTTTTCCTATTGATTTTTTTAGAGAGAATGGAAGGGGGTCGGGGGGAGAGAGAGAGAGAGAAACAAACATCGTGAGAGAGACATATTGATTGGTTGCTTCCTTCTCGCACCCCAATTGGTGCCAGGGATCAAACCTGCAACAGAGGTACATGCCCTTGGCCAGGAGTCAAACCCAAGACCCTTTAGTCCACAGGCTGACACTCTAACCACTGAGCAAACCAGCCAGGACCAGCTTGCTTTTTAAAAATTCACATCGTGGACATCCTTCCATGTTAGAATAATTAGGCCGCCTGCATTTTTTTGCACTGTTGTAAAGTGTTTTAGGCCATGGATGGCCTACATTTTTTACCCAACCAGTTGACATTTTGGTTGTTTCCAATTTCCTGTTGCCTCTGAAACTAGTCCAGATGCATCTTTGTGCCCTTGGGCAAGTACAGCTGGAGGGTAGATCCAGTGGTAGTGTTCAGTCAGAGGATGTGCACATGGAAGTTTTGCTAGAATCTGTCAGATTACTCTAACAAGGTGATACTAATTATACATTTGAAGTATGCAGACAACTTCAGGCATCTCCTAGGAGTGAAGAAAATCTAAAGTATGAAAGCAATTTTGTTGGTAGCTGTCTGGTCCACGCCGTGCCTCCCCTCCCCCCAACTCCGTCTTCTATTTTGCTGAAAGGTCCCCTCTAGATCCACACTGGGTGCAGGTTCCCGCCGTGTCTGAGTTAGTGGAGACATCCTGGGTTCTCCCCTCTGCCTCTCCCATTTCTTATCTCTCCTGAGAGCACCTCTGCCAGGGTGACAGTTGTCCCTGCCCCTGTCCCCAGGGCAGCGGCTATTCGGGGAGAGCATCCTGGGCCTGACGCAGGGCTCCGTGTCCGACCTGCTGTCCCGGCCCAAACCCTGGCACAAGCTCAGCCTGAAGGGGCGGGAGCCCTTTGTGCGAATGCAGCTGTGGCTCAATGACCCCCACAACGTGGAGAAGCTGAGGGACATGAAGAAGCTGGAGAAGAAAGGTGAGCACTGGGTCCTCTGCGTCTGGCCTCAGGTTTTCCCACTGGAACCGTATCTGGTTGTAACCCAACTAACCCAGGGCCTCAGTGGTCCAGCCTCAGCCTGGTGCGGGACTGCAAGAAATAGGAATCCCACAGTGTCATTGAAAGCAATGAAAATAATTTAGTACTTCTCCCATGAGAATTCCAGTCCTGTCTCTCTGTTTCCTTTCACACACCTGTAGCTACTTCAAAGTCTTTTCCCAACCCCTCTGCATGTTCCCAAAAACACCCCCTCTCTGATCCTCTGTCCTCTGCACCAGCTCCTAATGTATAATATGTAGATAGATCCCCCTGTGCCAATTACTGCAAAACAACACAAGAATTGACCCAGCCAACAAAGACTTCTGTGGTGGTCCGGCCGGCATGGCTCAGTGGTTGAGCACCGACCTATCAACCAGGAGGTCAGGGTTCAATTCCTAGTTAGGGCACATGCCCGGTTTGCGGGCTCAATCCCCATTGTGGGGCATGCAGGAGGCAGCCAATCCATGATTTTCTCTCATCATTGATGTTTCTATCTCTCTCTCCCTCTCCTTTCTTCTCTAAAATAAAAAAAATATATATTTTTTTAAAAAAGACTTCTGGGGTGGAGATGGGAACTGGGTGGGGCAAGGAGATTGCAGATGCTTATATTGTCCAATATTTTCTTTTATCCCTGAGAAAATGAGCAGTCACTGAGCACTTGCTGTGTATCCACACTCTCTCATGATGTGTGTAAGGGATCCCTGGAACTTAAATTAAAAAGCTCAGGGCCCAGTTGGGAGATGAGGTACCAGGAGCTAAAAAGTTGTCCCCCAAGGCACCCAAGACAGCTCGTGAGGAGAGAGTCCAGGGTCAAGCCAGGCCGTGAGGGACACGTGGGCCAGGGCCACGCCTCCACTGTTGGCACAAATAGCTTTGCAGCTGAGAACTTGGCCTGCCACCTGCTGGCTGTGTGACCTTTGTAGCAAGTTACTTCCCCTCTCTGTGCCTCATTCTACTTCTTCTGAAATTAAGTTGGTAGCATCTACCTCAGGGCATTGCTGTGAGGATTCAATGAGACCCTAATACCTTACACCCTCCATTCTCACGTGGGCTCCCCACACACACACACATTTTGATGATTTGAGGTTGAGATGCATTTACTGCGTTCCCAGCCCCTGCTGCCCCTGGAGGAAGGGGGTGGGGGTATTGATGAGCCTTGGGTCAGGCCCCTCTCAGCCCTCCCTCTCTCCCCTGCCCACCCAGCTTACCTGAAGCGCAGGTACGGCCTCATCAGCACCGGTTCAGACAGTGAGTCTCCAACCACCCACTCCGAGTGCCCCAGCCCCTGCCTGCAGCCCCAGGACCTGAGCCTCCTGCAAATCAAGAAGCCCCGAGTGGTGCTGGCGCCCGAGGAGAAGGAGGCCCTGAGGAAGGCCTACCAACTGGAGCCCTACCCCTCCCAGCAGACCATCGAGCTCCTCTCCTTTCAGCTCAACCTCAAGACCAACACCGTCATCAACTGGTTCCACAACTACAGGTGGGACGACTAGGGTGGACCCGCTCGGGGGATGGGCAGGGTCTCTGCAGGACCCTCTTCCCCATCCCAGGGCCTGGAGGGAGCCCAGCATGGATGGCCTCTGGGAGATGAGGAGTCTGTATTGCAAGGGTGTTTAGATTTGTAGATAAACCTGGATGTAAATCCCAGCTTCACCATTTCTAGCTGTGAGACCCTGGGCAAGTCATTTCAACTCCCTGAGCCTCAGTCTTCTAACCTGTAAAATGGGGACCATGATGGGATCTACTTCACAGAGTTGTCCTGAGGATTCAATGGGCTAACATATTTACATAAAATACCTGGCACATAGGATGTAGTGGATGTTGATGTTACTATTGTCACTGTCTTCATTACGACTTCCCCAGCTTACTCTGTGTCTGCCTGTGTGAGGGATAGGGAAGGGGGCACAGGCCTGAGGAACCTAACTTCCCACTGAGCCTCACGTTGGAACCCTGACTAGGGGTCTTGGCCTCTCCCACTCCCGAGACCAGAGGAAAGCCTTTTGGCATCCTCTGGCTTTCCAGTGGCTGCCTCCTCCCACTCACAAGGCCCCAGTGTTGGAGTCACTGACCTGCAGTGGGCTGGGCCTCCTGCGATTTTGTCGGGGTGTTGACCGGATCTGGCAGAGGGGCTTCATAAGGCTGGTTGAGAGCCCTGTGGAGAAGGCTTAATGGGTTCTAAGGGACCATGTCTGAGGCGCCCCTGCCAAGCTTCCTGAGAAGGAAATGTCTCTGGTGTCCATGTGGTGCCAGAGAGGAGAGTCCATCTGCATGTTCTAGGGGCAGAAAGAAGGTCTCTTGATCCCCAAGGGAGAAGAGGAAGGAGGAGGCTGGAAGGGAGGAACACTTGAAATCTCTTTCCACAGCCCAGGCATGGGCATCACACAGACCTGAGTTCAAGGCCCACTTGGCTGTGTGTTCTTGGGCAAGTCACTGAACTTCTCTGAGTCTCATCCCTGTTTTACAGATAATGCTGAATCAGGGATCAAATGAACCACTTGAGGTGTAAACATTGTGAAATATTGCTTATTGTCTGGCTCAGACCCACACCCTGCCAAACATCAAACGAAATAGGTTCTTAAAACTGCACATGCTCCTTCTCTCTCTGGGGGATTTAGGGATATCCTCGCCCCTTTTGTTCCCCACAGGAACTGAGCACTCCATTATTATCCAAAATATTCATTCAACAAATATTTGCCAAGTGTGTACAGTAAGCCAAGGTCTGGAGAAATGTGATCAAAGCAACATTCAAAATCATGAATCAGATAATTTCTACAACCTAATAAATGCTGTGAAACAGGAAGGAATAGGGGCTGAGGGAAAAGGAATTCTGCCTCCTGGTGAAGACTTTACAGAAGAGGTGGCATTTGAGCTGGGTTTGAAAAGATGAATAGGAATTTGCACCAAAGAGCAAAGAGAATTGCACTCCCCAAAATAACCACTCTTAAAAAGTTGTAGGTATAGAAGAATACATTATTTCATTTGATAAATGTTTATCGAGCACCTACTCTGTACCAGGCACTGAAGAGAATAAGACAAAGTTCTTACTCTTAGCATCTCCTGCAGACCACCAGAAAAGGTCACTATTAAACAAGCACTTATATTAATGTATCATTACAAACTGCAGTGAGCTCTGAGAAAGGCAAACAACAGGATGTTCTGAGAAAAAATTACCAGGATGGTAATTTGGGAGTTGGGGCTTGCAAAGACTAATTTATACTATAGTATGAATGACTCTTAGCTTCATATTTATATTTGATCTGCAGTTTGGAAGTTCTCATGATGGAGCTGCAGACTTTGAGCCATCCTAAACCTCCCTCAAATCCTACCTCACTGGAAACTACGATGGCTGCCCCTGGTCCCTGCAGCTTTTCCCTTTAGCAGGGACTGAGGGAGATGGCAGAGTCACTGTAAAGTGGACAAGGCCACCTTTGTGCAGGGACTGGGGACTGAGACAGGAAGTGAACCAGATGATCCCTCACAGTCCCTCTTAAGCCCAGGATCCTGGAATGGGGCACCGTCCCCCACCTGGGCAGGGAGCCAGGGAGGCAGGAGAGTGTAGTGAGACTTTTAGGTTCAAAGCCCAACTGTTCTACTTTCTGACTCTGATCGTGGCTATCCTTGTGCCTCTCTGAGCCTCATCTCGTTTATTGATGGGAATGATAATGATAATGTCCCCCTCACAAGGTTATTATGAAAAATAAATGAGATAATCTGCAAAAAGAGTTGGCCTGGTGCCCGGTACATATAAGCAGCCATTATTATTATGTTTATAATAATTACAGCTGTTACATTACATATCAATAATGTACTTAATTATTAATATAAATGGGCAGAAGGCTACAGCATTGAAGAAGCTGAGGAAGTCCTATTGTTTGATTACCTTAGATGAGTCATTTGACCTCCCTGGACCTCATTTGCTATTAAGAAAATAATTAATGGGCTTAGACCCATACCTGGCTCTTCCAATCCTCTAAAACATGACGTATGAGACTAAGTTTCCCTCACAAAGCAGGGAGGCTATTGAAGAGAAAATGGGTTCTGGACTAGAATTCTGGGTACCCAGACTCCAGTGCCAGCTCTGCCTCTGTGTTCTGTGGTGATCTGGACAAGTCACTCTCTCTGCCTCAGTTTCCCCTTCTGGGCTGATGTCGAAGAGTCCCTTCAGGAATGAGGCAGGGAGTTGTTGCCACAAACTAGATCTGGGTTTGACTTTGAGAAATGCTCTAGAACAGCACTGTCCAATAGAAATATAATGCAAGCCACATATGTCATTTAAAATTTTCAAGTAGCCACATTTACAAATAATAAAACAGATAAAATTAATTGTAGTAGTATATTTTACTTAGTCCAATAAATAAACCATTTTAACATTTTAATCAATATAAAAACTTTATTAATGAGCTCTTTTACTTTTCATTTTTTGGTATTAAGCTTACAAAAGCTTGCCTTTCCATCACATACCAATTCTCACTAGCTACATTTCAAGTGCTCAAGAGCCACAGTGGCTGCTATACTGGATAGTGCAGGTCTAGATCATGGTCTTTGGAATCCAATAGTCCTGAGTTTAAGTATTGGCCCTGCCACTTACTGGGCAAGTCATCCAACATCTCTGGGCCTTGTTTTGTCCTCTGTGAAGCAGGGATAGTAATAGCACCCACCTTGCACGGTTGTGGGGAGGACTTGCTAAGATGCTGCATATGAAGGCTCTTAGTTCCTACTGAACCCCCAGGGAAGTGGGTGGAGTCAAAATGCCCTTCATGTGGAGTGAGTTCAGGGTTAGCTGGTTCCCCCTCCATCTCCTCGCTCACCGTCATCTCTGCCCCAGGTCCCGGATGCGCCGGGAGATGTTGGTGGAGGGGACCCAAGATGAACCAGATCTCGACCCCAGTGCAGGTACTGGCATCCTACCACCAGGCCACTCCCACTCAGACCCCACCCCACAGAGCCCCGACTCTGAGGCTGAGGACCAGAAGCCTACGGTGAAGGAACTTGAGCTCCAGGAGGGCCCTGAGGCGAGCATCACTCCCCTGACTGCCCAGGACAGGGCCCCAGTGAGGATCAAGCAGGAACAGACTGAGGACAATGCTGAAGAAGAGGCGGGCAGCCAGCTCCAGGACTCCGGGGAGCAGGACAAAGGCCACGGTTCTCCCAAAGAGATGCATCCAGACCCTTTGGGTAATGATGGGCTCCCAAAAGTGGCCCCAGGACCTCTTCTTCCAAGCGGGCCTCCCCCAGACTGCCCCTTACTACAGCCCCCCCAGGAGAGCAGGGCTGGAGAGCAGCTACACCTGGACCCTCTAAGTTTTAAGTCGGCCTCAGAGTCCTCGCGCTGCAGCCTGGAGGTGTCACTGAACTCACCCTCGGCTGCCTCCTCACCAGGCCTCATGATGTCTGTGTCACCTGTCCCCTCCTCCTCAGCTCCCATCTCGCCATCCCCACCCGGCGCCCCCCCTGCCAAAGTGCCGAGTGCCAGCCCCACTGCCGACACGGCTGGGGCCTTGCACCCCAGTGCCAAGGTGAACCCCAACTTGCAGCGGCGGCATGAGAAGATGGCCAACCTGAACAGCATCATCTACCGGCTAGAGAGGGCTGCCAATCGGGAGGAGGCTTTGGAGTGGGAGTTCTGAAAGCGAGGGCAAGGGGCCATCACTCTCTCTCCCAGACAGGGCAGGGTACAGGAGGGAGGAACTCAACCACCAAAATGTGGACAGCAGTGTTATGCCACTTACGTTTTTTTGTTATAATCCTAGTTCTATAAGTTGTGAGCGAGCAGGTGGGGCAGATGCCACTGCCTCCTCTTTTTGGCACGCCCGCCCCAGGGAGCACCCTCTTCTCTACTCTGGCCTCTGCAGGAGGCAAAGCAAAGTGGCGCCACATTTTCACCTGGAAACTCCAAACTCTTTTAGAAAAATAAATAAATATTTATAGACCTCTTTTAGATATTTTAATAAAGGATCCTTTGGAATTTATTCCCAGCCGATGCTGTTTTGATATTATAGAGAGTTATAAAATCAGGATGCTGTCACAACTGTTGCGAAGTGTACACTGAAGTTGTGTCATTTTTGCCACTAGATGAGATTAAAAGAAGACAATTGTTCAAAGCCATCACAAAACACTATTAAGACTGACCAAAATTTAGATAACCTTTGAACCGCGATTTTTTCCCACGTCTGTCTATGAGACATAGCGCACTGCTCCTGCCCTTCCAGAAACCGTGCTGGAAAGAGAAAGTCCAAAAGACTCTAAACGAAAACCTCGATGCTGTTGAGGACGTGTTTCATTCTGGTGGTCTGTTTTGCAACCTTGATAACACAGAATGTTGTGCCGTTGTAAATGTTGTCGAGATGTGGGCTGTGGCCGACTGTCCTATCTGAGATGTAACGTGGTACAAAATGAACTGCCTGCACTCCCTCTAGTCAGAAACCTCTGGGCCACAGAGGTCGGACATCCAGCTCGTCCGTTGTAGACAGGATGTGTTTCCGGATCCTATGGAGGCAGGTGATTGGAGGGTGGCACTTGAGCCAGGGTGACCCCATTCCCCAACCTGAGTCATGGCCACAGTCAGGAAGTCTCCCCCCTACTTTTCCAGAGCAAGACGGTGGCCGCCATCTTCCCCTCTTGTGTTTTAAGGAAACAACAGCGTTGGTCACCCCACAAGCACCCAGCTCAGCTCTCAGCACCAAAAAATAGATGCATCACACCAGAGACCCCAGGCCCCCTTCTCGCCGTCTCTCAAGTGGACCCAGTGCTACCTCTGGGCGGCGTCTGCAACTCCAAGTCGATTCAGAACAAGCGAGAAGGTTGAGTTTGCTGCAGCATGACCACCGTAGCCCAGTCTCCACACCCACCCTCCTGCCTTCCACCACATGACCTTTTGGGGAGCAAAGACTCAGCCCTCCAATTCAGAAGCCGTTCCTCCAGCATCTTGATGGTTTCTAGAGGGAGAGTCCCCAATCTGGATGGAACAGCCACAATATTGGTTGTTGAATCTCTCTCCTGATTTTATTTCTTATCTTTTTTCAAACTCTGTGGGAAGGTTGAGTTGGGTACCTCCCTACCTAAATACAGAATGATGAAGAAAAAGTGGCCATAATCGGTGCCTATCCATTGCCAGGGAGAGAGATGGCTGACGGGGGTTTCACGGATGCTGAAAGCATTTTGAAACCAGGCCAGTGAAACCTGATGACCAGAAAGGGACAATTGAGGGCCGTTCCAGAAATCTCAACTCTCATGCACCCAGCCCAGGCTACAGTCTCCACGCCAGTCAATGAAGAACAGCGCAGACCCTTCAGGAAAGTCTTTTCCGCACACCCAGGCTATGCATTGAAGAGTTTTCCACTGTATACATTTTTATCCAGATGAAGGTATTTTTATATTTTGACAATAGGAAACAGTGACCAATTTTCAGAGTCATCAAATCTGGAACAAATAAAACAGCTCCTTTTAGTCACCACTGCCCTGTCACAAGTAAGACACCATGGGGGAACACACCACTTTTTACTGTTGAAACCCACACACCATTGAAATTCAGGCCTATACACAGACTACAATCCTTAGAAAATGAAATCTGGCTTTTGTGTGACGGGATTTGATTAAGCACTTAGTATAGTCTTTTGAACACGGAAATCCTGTTGTACTTAAAGCTAGTGGACCCGTGAACAGCTTTGTCAGGGTCATGTCCTATCACAGTGAAAACAAAACAAAAACCCACAAAACAGTTTCTATGAGAAATTGATGAACTTTGTTTAAAATTTTAAAAAAAGGGACACGTTCTGTAAATGCGTCGCTCAATACAGAATTGTATAATAAGGTCTGGGTGTCCTGCTTGCTTTGTTCTGGAGTTGGGGGTGCAAGTTGGGGGTCAGATCTGGCACTCAGCGGTGTTTTACAAAATGGTGTTTTGAAAAACTTTTTAATTAGTTTACCACCATTAAAATATGGGGGAATGTCATATAAAAATCGAGATTTTTACCGGCTTCCCTGGAAAACCATTAAGATCAGGCCACACTGGGCCAACCTTCCAATGTGACAACAGCCAGCTGAGTGGCTACTCCCTTTCAACAGGACACATGTCCATGATTTGCCTCAGGCCTCACCTGTGCTACCTGTCCGGATCCTGTGGGTATCTCGTTGGGCAGTTGTGCTATGGGCTCAAGCAAAGGAAAGTAAAAGAATTGGAATCCATTTTTCCACTCAGCAGGGTGGAAGCAGGTTAGACTCGAGGGCCTAGGACAGTGATGGCGAACCTATGACATGCGTGTCAGAGGTGACACGCGAACTCATTTTTTTGGTTGATTTTTCTTTGTTAAATGGCATTTAAATATATAAAATAAATATCAAAAATATAAATCTTTGTTTTACTATGGTTGCAAATATCAAAAAATTTCTATATGTGACACGGCACCAGAGTTCAGTTAGGGTTTTTCAAAATGCTGACACGCCGAGCTCAAAAGGTTCGCCATCACTGGCCTAGGACCAAGGAGCCAAGATCATGCCCTGCCCCCAAATCAGTGGCCACCGGCCATGGCCCTGAAACCAACCATTCTATAGGCTGTGCCCACCTCAGTGGAATGTGTGAGTGGCAGGTGCCCCCGGCCTCCTGAGACCAGCATTGCCCCTTTCCCAGCTGTAGAATTAGGATCTCAGTTTCCCCAACTACAAAATGGGAGTGTTGCAACAGCCAGCTCAGACAGTCATAAGGAATAATCCTGCATTAAGACACATAGAACAGTGTGTGGAATGTAAGGGCTCCGTGTTATCAGGAGTGGGGATTGATGCTGGATGAGTCTCTGTGTGTCAAGCTGCAGAAGGTTTGTTTTTTCCTAACCAGTAATGTCAGGGAGTCCCCAAAGTAGCCTGAAACATTACTCATCCATGAGCCAAGGCCTCATGGCATCCCAAGACACAGCTTTCCTCTGTCTGGAAACCTTCCGATTGCCCCAGTTCTTCCGCACATCCTTGCAGTGGGAATTAAATGATTAATTACCTCCCCTTTGGTTAGGATAACTCAGTGGTCGGCAAACTCATTAGTCAGCGGAGCCAAATATCAACAATACAACGATTGAAATTTCTTTTGAGAGCCAAATTTTTTAAACTTAAACTATATAGGTAGGTACATTGTTATTAACTTAATTAGGGTACTCCTAAGGCGTAGGAAGAGCCACACTCAAGGAGCCAAAGAGCCACATGTGGCTCTCGAGCCGCAGTTTGCCGACCACGGGGATAACTCATTGTTCCAAACCTAGCAGGACAGCCCCTGGGAGGTCTGAGTATCCCATCAAGCTGGGGAGGGTAGATACAGTTAGAGGCAAGGTCCCATTGGGCCTGGAAGTCCCAAGCTAGCCATTAAGGGTGACAGTACAGGCGGGCCCAGCCTTTAGTCAGAGCTGGAGGGGAGAAGTATGAGAGTCAAGAGTTCAGGGCGTAAAGCCAGACCACCTGGTTTCAACCCCAGCTCCGTCTTTTGGAGCCACGTGACCTTGGGCAAATGCCAAAACTGCTCTGTACCTCAGTTTTCCCAGCTGTGAAGTGGGGAAATGATAGTAAAGGCACCTTTCTTATAAGGTGGTTGAAACAGTTCAAATGAAGTAAAGCCAGGGGCTGGCCCTTTGGACCCTTAGGTTCATAGCTCTGGAGAAGGTTAGAAATTAGAAATGCCCAGGATGTGGCCCCGTGGTGTAGGTGGGGCAGGAGGGGGGGGTATATCTGAACACACATGCCACCTAAGAACCTGTGGAAGTAGGTGCTCCTAGGCCAGTGATGGCAAACCTTTTGAGCTCGGCGTGTCAGCATTTTGAAAAACCCTAACTTAACTCTGGTGCCGTGTCACATATAGAAATTTTTTGATATTTGCAACCATAGTAAAACAAAGACTTATATTTTTGATATTTATTTTACATATTTAAATGCCATTTAACAAAGAAAAATCAACCAAAACAATGAGTTCGCGTGTCACCTCTGACACGCGTCATAGGTTCGCCATCACTGTCCTAGGCCATCGGCTTTGGTGTTGACATTGTGTCTGCAGCTGCAGCCCATCTGATGTGGGGAATATAGCAGAAACACCGAAATGTGGAATTCTGACCTAGGGACCATGGGTGAGCAGGGAGTGGAGAGACTGGAGAGGAATGAGAATATAGGAAAGGCCTTGCAGGCGGAGGCAGGTTTACACAGGGACAGAGAAGAGCAGAGAGCTGATTTAGGGACAATTTGGCAACTATCTATCAGGTGATACGTATTTCAAGAGCACCTACAATGTGCTCAGAAACACTGGGGACCATGAGAACGTGAGTAATGGGGTCCAGGAAGGCTTCCTGGAGGAGGGGACATCTCACCTGACACCTGAAAGACAGTAGGAGTTGGAGGAGAAGGGAAAGGAGGGCAGAAGGAATAGCGGGCAACATGCGGGACAGGCACAGAACAAGGGGAAGAAGTGTGAAGGAGGATGCAATTTGTGTTGGGGGGAAAGGGAAGGAGGTCAAGGGCCAGATCCCTTGGGGCATGATGGGAAATATGCCTTTTTCCTGAGAGCACTGAGGAGCCGTGAAGATTTGAGGCAGGAAGTTGCTGTGGTCAGATTTGTACTTTTAAGAGGTTAGGAGGTTTCATCTGCCTAGGGAGACAGTGGGCCAGAGGAGAGTGGCAGGGCACACTCCCCCCATAAGCCTTGACCTTCAGGCCTCTGTGGTCCTGGCTTCTTATTTGTCGACGTAAGAAACATCCAAATTTGTAGAGAATTTTTCTTAAAATTTTTATTGATTTCTGAAAGAAAGAGAAAGGGAGAGAGAGAGAGGGAGAGAGGGAGAGAGAGAGAGAGAGAGAGAGAGAGAGAGATATGTTGTTCCACCCACCCATACTCTCACCAGTTGCTTTCCCTATGTGCCTAGACCAGAGACTGAACCCGCAACTTTGGCAAATTGGGACAACACTCCAACCAACTGAGCCACCCCGCCAGGGCAAACCTGTGGAGAACTTTTATGAGTTTGAGCCACACTGACGATATATGCCAGGGAACAAGATTTCACATGCTTCGGAGAATAAAAGTTTTGCAGCTTTTATGCATTTGAAATTAAGAAATGTACATGGAGGTGGGAGAAAGGAAGGGATTGGATAACAGGATAGTTTAGATTATATGCTCTCTTGAGAGTTAATATGTCTGCTATTTCAAAGACGTGTTAACCTAGGTGTGCAGAAACAATGGACAGGGCTTGCTTGAAGCAAAGATTAGCCTTTACAAGTTACATGCCATGCCTAGGGCATGACTGCCCACCATGACCTGCCTAGTTAGGAATTTGTGATCAGATCATTCTGCGAGGTTACTTTCCTTAGAACCTTCCACACATCCCTGCCCTCCTTTCCCTCCTAGTTAAGCAACTTTAATTGTGTCAGCAGCTCCGCCCCCATCACTCAAGTGAATGAAAAAGCAAAACTTGTTGGCTCACAACCACTGGGGCAACTAGCTAGAGGTCATTCTAAAGGCTCCCTAGCCAAGGAACAGGATGTGTGTTACTCCAGAAACTGGGCTGCCTGTGTAGGCACCCAGGAGGCCAGGGCCCCCACACACACACCGCCCCCCGCCTAAACCCAAGAGCAGTGGGTACCAAGGGTTTTTAGCCAAGGTGACTCCTCACTCTGGTGGGTTTCCCCATCTGCCACAATGAGTGAGATTAAACAATTGATCTCTTTAATGCTTTGTGGGACCTTCAGCCTCCAAGGGTATAGTTATTAAAAGCACTGGCTTTGAACTCAGCCTGCTCTGGGTTTGACTCCATGATCTTGTAATCTGCAGTCCTTCAATGAGACTCAGTTTCCTTATCTGTAAAATGGATCTGATCATAATAGTATCTACCTGTACTTGGCATCTATTGCTGATAACAAATAACTGCCGAAACTTAGTGCCTTAAAACGCCATCTCTCAGGATCTCGCTGGGTCAGGAATTTGGGAGTGGCTTCGCTGGATGTTTCTGGCTCTTGAGGTTAAGCCGTCAGCTAGGACTGAGGCCAGGCCTAGGGCTGGAGGATTTGCCTCCAAGAGGGCACACTCCCTGGCTGGCTGTTGGTGGGCATCTCTGTTCCCCTGCAAGTGGGCCCCTCCACAGGGCTGCTTGCGTGTCCTCAAACATGGCAGTTAAGAGTGAGTAAGGTGGAGGCTGCAGTGTGCTCTGTGACCTAGAGTGGAAGCCCACTGTGGCCTCCACAGTACCCTCCTGGCCACCCAGGCCTGCGTGCAGTGTGGGAGGGGACTACACTAGTATGTGAACACCAGGAGTCAGGGATCATCCGAGGGCATCTCAGACGCCTGATAAGTTTCTTTCAAGATTTCATGAGCATTTCTTAATTTGTGGTCCTAAAATCTCTTGTTTCCAACATAAAAAGCAGCTTCCTGGGCCCCAAACCGAACCTACTGACCCAGAATTCCTAGAGTCAGGCAAGCCCAGGGATCTGCAATTTTAAGAAGTATCTCATGGGTCTCAGTAAATGGGAGGCAGTTCTAACTCATTTTGTTATTTGGCCCCACTGGGTGCTCGAGGCTCTGGGAAGGATGCTAGCGAAACGAGAGAATGGGAGTAGGAACAAGCATTCACTGGTGTCGTGGTGTAGTCGAGAACTATTGGGTTGAAGGAAATTGTGGTCCAATTAAAGATATTCAAACCGTTTATTGGGAATCCTGGAGAAATCCAAAGGCAAGATGTTCCGCCAGGCTCTGGGGACTGCACAGTCTATCTTGATCCGTTCGTCCTCTCTCTAGTGTTGCCTCAGACCTAACTTAATCCATTCCCCCCAATTCACAATACCCAGGACCCCGATTGCTCAGCTTGTGTCTCGGACCAAGTCCTGCCCAAGCAGCTGTAGACAGGGAGGAAAGGATCACATGAGCTGAGGGACAGAGGACACAGTGATGGATGTCTCGGTGCCGGGCACTGTGCCGGGCCCTGGGGCCACATAGTCCCTGCCCTCCAGTGCAGTCTAGAGGCCTGGGTGCACGGCCTGGGACATCTCGGCCCACAGGTAGAGGAGCAGTGACAACAGTGCCCCTGGACAATGAAGAGAGGGCAGTGGCAGGGGCCCCAATGTCCAGGTGCTTTCAGAGCTGTGCCTGGCAAGGGCAGCCACGTCCCCAAGGATGAGCACACTGAGCTAGAGCAGCCACAGCCACGTCCCCAAGGATGGGCACACCAAGCTAGGGCAGCCCTGGCCCCTCAGACAGGAGCAGGTGACTGTTTTGAAATCTTAAGACAAAACCAGTTCATGGGCCCACCTTTTAAAAGCTCTTCCTCAGAAAATGCAAAATCTGCAGCTGGGCTTAAGCAGTTTATTATTTTACTGCATTGGAAGTTTCATTTTGGATGCAGCAGTTTTAGAAATTGGGACAAGTCGCAGGGCCTTTTGTATAACAAAGTTTGTAAAAGGTAAAGTAAGGTTATCTGGGGAGGGATCGGGAAGAGTGGAGTGGACAGTTGGCACCAAATCAGCCCGAGTAGGAACCAAACAGCCCCGTGTGGGAACATGCGAAGTGTAGGGCCGGAAGTAAGCACGGGGAATGCTGCTTTTCAATGTTTGTTCACTCGGCTGAAACGGGCGATGGAAGGCTTCCAGGGAAGTGAGGAGCAGCAGTGGCCCCTTTACTGTTCCGGGGAATCCCACTCTAGCCCTTCTCTTCACCCCACTGAGCCAACAGCAGCTCTGAAGTTGGTCAACCATAGCCATGCCTCCTTAGAGGGAGTCGCCACAGTCACTCAACCTTATCTGTTAGGAAGCCTCTGGCTGCAAATAACAACAAAAAAACACATCTCCCTTAAAGCTTCAAACAAGGCTATTTATTAGCTCAAATTATTAGACTGTCCAGAGGTAAGGCTGATTCAGAAGTTCAAGGATATTTTCAGGTGTCAGCAGGGGACACTTTCCTTGGATTGTCCTATTTCACGATCACAAGAGAGCTGCCACGGCTCCAGGCATCCGACGTAACTTCACCCCCAGAAAACAATGACCAGCTCTTCACTGTATCTCTTTTTAGAAGAAGCCGCTTCCACTAACATCACACTGATCAACATGGGGTCACACAGCCATTCTTTAGCAGCTAAAGGTTAGCTAATTCCTCCAAGTCAGATGGGAGCAGCACAACTGATTGAAATTGACTAATCGTTTTTGGATGGATGGATGTTGGGCGGCCGGCACAGAACCTCTGGCCTCAGCACAGAATCCCCGGCCCCAAGTGGCTTCTCAGAATGTTGCTTCGGAACACATGCAGCATCCCCCAAAGGCTTTTTAGGTAAAGACAGTTTTCTACACCTGGCCATGCTCCTGGGGTGTTTTAGTCCTTAGACACGTCCCCTGGGTCAAGAGGAAACACCGACATATTAGCAGGTGGATACACACCCCCTAGGTATTGACCAACTTGTCCTGCCTCCCCACCCCCACCCCCATTTCTGTTAAATTCATGGAAACTCCAGTCCTGAGAAGTCTAGCAGGTGACCCTCCCTCTTGGAGCTAGCTGTCTCTCTCCTGTTTCCCCCATCTGTGCCCTGTGGTGGCTGTGGTCACAAGTGCCACAGGCGGGCTCTGACTCAGCCTGTGTGGGGAGCCACTTCCCCAGCCCCCGTCTGTCAGCTGCGGTCCCAGGAGAGGTGGAAGGACTTACTCAGCACGCCCGGGATGCTCACGAGGGACATGAGTCCCCGACCTTAATATTTTTCGTGTCAGTTGCTCATCCTAAGCCACATTTTCCTGAATGTGCATGATTTTTCCAGGTTGACATGGCATGTGACCCAAGCTCTGTATCCACATTAGGAGGACCTAGGGCCTAGTCCAGTGATGGCGAACCTTTTGAGCTCGGCGTGTCAGCATTTTGAAAAACCCTAACTTAACTCTGGTGGCGTGTCACATATAGAAATTTGTTGATATTTGCCACCATAGTAAAACAAAGACATATTTTTGATATTTATTTTATATATTTAAATGCCATTTAACAAAGAAAAATCAACCAAAAAAATGAGTTCGCGTGTCACCTCTGACACGCGTGTCATAGGTTCGCCATCACTGGCTTAGTCCATCATGCTGGTGACCTTGGCCAGCCCCTCCCGTCTGTGAAACCCCAGTTAGCCCAGCAAACACTCAGCGAGTCTGAGATAGCAGACAGCATGAGGACCCCCACCACCCACCCTGGAGCAGGGCAGACATTGCTGCAATTGCAGGGTCTTCCCCTCCGAACTAGTGTTGGTGCCAGATCCTCACCTAGGCCCCCAGGCAGCCCAGGCACGGACCAGGAAGAGCCAGGTTTTGACTCTTCCACTTGCCATCCTGACTTGCCCTCCCCACAGTCAGGCCTTCAGCCCACAGTTGACTTTCAGACCCTCGCCTTTCTCTCTTCCTTCTCTCCCCTGAGAAGTAACTTTGCGACTCCATTTCCCTGTAGTGCTCTGGAAGGCCCTGCCCTTCCTCCACAGGATTCCAGAGGTTCCATCCCTGCTCTACACTTTTCGGGTGTGTGAACTTGGCCGGTTTCTTAGCCTCTGTGAGCCTCAGTTTCCTCATCTGTAAAATGGGGCCGGTACCTGGCATAAAAGGTTGTGAGAATGTGCCTGGCAGAGCGTCCGCG